TCCATTTTCCTGCAAATCATTTCCATCTGAACAAATCGCAATCCCTAATCCGCCATCTTCCCCTCGAATTACTCTCTTTTATTAAGATTCTGTTCGTCCAATCTTCAAGCAAATCTCCGGTACGGTTACTCCGTTTCATCTGTTTCCCGATTCCTGATCTGTGGGTATTTGGCTTTTGTCGATTGAGATCGTATTAGTTACGAAATGCGAATCCGGGTTTGGGCTTAGTCCGCCGATTACGTGTTTGGATTTGTTTCGTTTTTGTGAATCTCCACCACCGATTTTATGTTTGTATCTTTAAATTTGACCCCTTTGCTTTCAATGTTGAATTGAATGTTTAATTTTGTCACGGGATGTAGGCAAGTAGGTTTTTTTTTATGCCGGAGATCTAGGCTTCTATGAAACTGAGATGTTTGTTGGTGTGGTTTGTTTTTTCTTCCTATCCTTATTTTTGTTATTGTTGAAAAATTTGGAGTTAATTTGGGTGACCTTGATAATTTGGTGCAATATGAAACCATTACTGAAGTTAAGGTTGTAGCTTGCTCTGAAAGGTGTTCTTAGTTATGAAGCCTTGATTTTTAATTGAATTTATGAAAGCATTGACTTTTGATTTTAGACATTTTAATAGATCTCGAAATTTTGGAGTTCAAATATAAGTCATCTGACATTCTCTTTGAGAGTGCCTTTAAGACACTAGTTCCTGTGGGCATTTCTGTGATTTAGCAAAATTATGTCTTTTATGTTACTCTATTCGATATGGTAATATATACTAATATATGCCGTTGAACATTTATGTTTGGAAACAAGATATTCTGCAACTGATTGTGTTTTTTACTGACAAATTCTTCTGTTAGATGTGACTTGATTTCTTGCACTCAAGTTATATGTATAGTTGTATGTAGTCTTGATGATGGGAACAAGGCAGTTTTGCATTTTTGAATTTTGAAATTGTCCCTTTTGAGTTTTGAGCTTAGAGATAGTCATCATTTGGGTTTCTTTAAGGAATTCATTGAGCATAAACCATTACAATATACCCTATGAAAAATTCGATAATTTATGAGTATTTAGTGCATTCATGGCATTGATCAAGTGGTCTTTTTCAGATCTCTTTCTATTACGTTTTTGTTGCAATTTTCCACTTTTCATGGCCTTAAAGTGCTTAGTATCTTTTTCTTTGAGGCAAGTGCTGCTTATGTTGTGATAGGCATTGTCAGAGATAAATGTTAATTGATATCTTGGTTTTCATATACTCTACACAGCAATCATCTGAAATATGTCTAAGAAAAGTACCTCAGTTTCAAAAGAGTTTTTTTTTTATTATCGATGCACAACTTCTAGTTTTTGGCAAGGTACAATTGTCATAAATTATCTTTAAATAACTTAGGACTCTCTTTTGGTTTTTTATAGGAAAATTGCTCTAAAAGTGAGATTTGTTCAATCAAAGTGGACTCTTATTTTGGGGATAAGACATGTATGGAACATGACATTTTTTTAATTGAGAGATTAATACTGTGAAATGAATACATCTTACCACCTGATAGATGACTGGTTGTAGTGGGTTATTCTTAAGATACACTTCCCCCGTTCTTAGATAGAGCATTTTACACTATATTAGCTCAAATCTGATTATATTGTGGTTTTTACATAAAACAAAATATAATCATGTGTGGTCTTGTTCATTTCGCTTCGATATATATATATTTTTACCACATCATAATTGAAGATATTAATGATTTACTTTATGCATTGGCAAATGCAAAAATATTGATGTTTCATTTGTTAAGAACAGAGGAAGTATCAGGCTTAAATTTTATTTTAATTGTTTTTGGTCTTAACAGATTTATAGTTTAGCAAATGGCAAAGGTTACAAGAGGAAGGCGTAGGATGACCTCACGGCAAAGCAGGCCCACTCCATACCCTTTGCCGTCGGTGAACCAAAAGAAATGCTCCAATAAGTGCAAGAAAGACTGGGAAGATGCTACATGTTCGGTGTGCATGGAATGTCCCCACAATGCTGTCCTCCTCCTCTGTTCTTCTCATGACAAGGGCTGCCGTCCCTACATGTGTGGCACCAGCTACCGTTATTCAAACTGCCTGGACCAGTACAAAAAAGCCAACACAAAAGTCAATTCGTCAAACCAACAGAACCAATACATTCCAAGTTCAACGGGTGGTGTCCCGCGCCCCCTCCTCTGCCCGGATTGGGTTGAGGAGAAGTGTGAGATAACTGAACTTGCCTGCCCGCTTTGCCGCGGGCAGGTCAAAGGATGGACTGTGGTGGAAGCAGCCCGTAAACACTTGAATGCCAAAAAGCGGAATTGCATGCAGGACAACTGTCCGTTTGTGGGGAACTATAAAGACATGAAAAAGCATGTTAAGGTGGAGCACCCTTCTGCTAGGCCCCGCGAGAAGGACCCAGTTCTTGAACAGAAGTGGAGGCGGCTCGAGGTTGAACGGGAACGCGAAGATGTCATGAGCACAATAAGGTCTTCCATGCCCGGGGCTGTCGTTTTCGGCGATTATGTCATAGAAGGAAGCCCATTCGGCTATGGTTCAGAAGATGAAGAAGAAGATGATGATGATGATGACGACAGGGATGATGGGTTCAACGTGGTGGGCCGTGGTGGGATGGGAGGGAGTTTGATTAACGTGTTTCGCCTTTTGCAGGCAATAGGTTCGGCTGGTGGGACCATTGTTGGATCAAATAGAGGTTCAGATGAAGGGTCCGGAACTGACCACAACCTGACAGTTGGTTTTGATTATTCAGACCAAGAGAGTGATGAAGGTGAAGATGATCGCGGCACATCATTGGCCGGGCGGCTTCGCCGCCATGGGAGAGTCCTTTTGGGACGTTCGGGGAGGAGGCGGAGATTTAGGGAGCTAAACGGCCGCGGCGGCAGACGAAGATAGAGGTAGATCCCTACCCTTGTTATCATTGACAGTACAAATGGGGAAGGAGAAAATAAAACCATCATAAAAGTCATTAGGGTCTTAATTTGGTTAGCTTTTTTTAAACCTATGTTATTCTGTACTATAATTTATCTGTTTTTTTTATGATCATCCCATCATTTGATTGGTGTTCAATACTTTGGTGGATTTGTATGATATGGTTGTTGGGTTCATGAACATTTGTAGGGTCCCAAAGGATGATATGTTCCTTTGTAGGGGTGGGTGTTTCTTAAGACTTGTGTTTCTGGTTCTCTCCTTCTCTTTGAGATGAAGCATTTACCTGTCAATTTCACAATTGAATGAATGAGTGAATGATTTATTGCAGTGGTTTCTGTCATTCTGTGTATGTTTGGTGTGAAGATTGTGTTTTTGGCAATTTGAAGCCAGGGGTAATGAGTTGAATTTACCGGTGTAACCTTAATGCAATATCTCCCTTCTGTTTCCGTATCCCCTGTCACTTGTGAGTTTTCCTCTCGTCCCAAATTAAATTGTTTGTTTACTCATGGTCAAATTTTATTTACTTTCTTTCATTTTTTGTTAATTATTTGATAAAATAATATAATTATGTCACCACTATTGAAAAGATGCTTAAATTAATAAATTGAAATGAAAAGAGAGAGAGAGGCTATAAATTAATAAATCCAAATGAAAAGAGAAGTTTCAACATTAAAAAGTGTGAAATGGAAAGAGATGTTGCGTAAAATAAAAAGAGAAGTTTTACCATTGAAAGTCGTGAAATGAAAATAGAGAAGTTTTAAATTAATAACAGAGTGAGAGGGAGCCTTCATCGAAAAGCATGAAAAGAAAAGAGAGAGAGATGCTACAAATTACGAGTAATGAATCAAAATGAAAAAAGAGATTTTATTATGGTTTATGGTGGAGGATATGATAATTATATACCAAGACAAACTTGTTAAGATTAAAAGCTGGCCACACATGTCATTTTGTGCCCAATGACAGCCACACTTGGGTGGCTATTCTACCTAACCTCACATGGTTGTCTCTTTCTTTTATGTTGTGAGGTTTTGTAATTGATTTAGGAAAATTTTGGAGTGCTTATAGATGTGATAGTTTTTTTTACATCATTCATGGGTATCAAGTATTAGTATATGACATTCGGGTCATTTCAAAGTCGTACTATATGTATTATTCGACACAAGTCTTTGATTTTTCACAAACTTCTTGAGCACTCCTAGGGTAGCATTATGCTACGATAACCAATGTAGGGTAGTTGTGAAGCCGAATGGGGGAGGAAGGGGGCTGGGGCTGAGTCATGTCGTGAACTGCGTAACACCCTCAAATGACCTGGTGTCATATTATTATGACAATTATCCTTGGGGTCATAGGAGCCCTACTTGTTATAGATTTGGAAAAATGCTGATAGGGCAGGAAAATTGTTAGAGATAGGCTTATCTGGGCGGAATATTTTCTATTAGTATTTACTTTAGAAAAAGTTAACGGTGTAGTTTAATTTTAAAAGCTTTAAAATTAAATTCTGTCACGGTTAAATAACTTTTATCATAATGCTAACTGTAACATCTAACGTTGTTGTAAAACGTGCATGTCCTGTGTTTGATTTTGTGACAAGGTGTTATGTTCTTATGAAATTACTCATTGTTTTTTGTTGTTGTGGGAGGGTGTGGTTATGAATGTAAACCCATTATGTCTAACCATACCAATGCTATTAGTCTTTGGCGAAAATGTCTTAGCTTTACACGGAGTAACTTATATCTTATTAATAAATGTAGTGTTTTTAAAAATTGAACAACGAACGCTTGATATGTTTAATTAGCATATATTTCAACTATCTCCAAATAAAATTTAGTGGACAAGGAGCGTTTGAAGTGTTTCTAAAAATGAACAAAGAATAACTTATAATCACCGTATTTTAATTTGTGTCAGTACCTTTACTACCAAACAAAACATTGTTTTTTTTGTATAAATAAAACACTGAATTGTTTAATGCTTTTCACCAAATTTTTTATTAAAAAGTTGCATGATTGAAATTTATAAAAAAAATAGATAAATAAAACAATTTAATCATATCTTTAAAAGGAGTAAATAATTTATTTTGGGACAAAAGAATGGAATGTTTCTTCTACGATGAAGTTTAGAAGGTGAACCTCAACATTTTAAATTCTAGAGTTGAATTTCAGGAAAAGAACATTCCATTCCATTCTTTAACAAAAGAGTGTTAATTTTCTACACATTTATGAGGGAAGGAGATATTTTTTAAAAAAATAAAAATAAAACACCGATTATCATTAATTAATCAGTTTTTCTTGTTATTCCAGTGGGGACACCATAGCAGACTGGGGCTGCCCCAATCAAATATGGAAGGACACATGCCTTACGAGCTTGCCCCATGAACGACCCCACTCTAGGCCTATGCCTACAACTACAGCTACTTTTGTTCATACCCTTCTTCCCCTTTCCCTTCTTACCTGCTATGTCCAGGCACTCAAACTCCTCTGAAACACCAGCCATGCATTGATCACAGCCTCCATAAATGGCTGTCGTTGACCTTTCTCTGAACCAGCACTCCAGCATTGCCTTGCCAAACCTGTCTATGTCCTTATCGGTCACGTCCCACAGAGTTGCGACTATGATTGGAGAACCTGCTGAGAGGAAGTATAAAGGAGCGCCCTGAGGGATGTAGGCCCCGTTGGAGATCAAGGAACCACTGCTGCATCCCATTAGTAGGGAAGCCGAGCAGGGGTCTATACTCTTGATCTCGTTTCCGGGGATATATTGCATTCCTGGAATAAAAAAGCCCAGAAAAAAACGTGTTCAACAGGGGAAGAAGTAACGACTGAATTCTTTGGACACTGGACTCTAGTATCATACGGAGTATTATGGCACCAGCCATTGAAGCTTCCATGGTATAATATTGGATACTGATGTAGTTCCTACCCTTTAACCCTTCCTTTCAGACGCCTTTGCTACAGTGTTAATGTAGCAAAATAGCATTTTTTGTTTGGGGGGGGGATGGGGGTTAGGGTAGGTAGGAACCACTTTCAAGTCCAATGGAACGCCGTATGGGTTAGGTGTCATAATATGACACGCAAATGTGGTGTTAAAAGAACCCTGATGTTATCAAGGCATGTACTAAACCACCCAAAAAAGACCCTTGAATCACGCCAATGGTGGATCGACCCCCTTGGAGCAAAGTGTACATTTAGGAATATGAGTCCTTTCATGATTTGAAAATCATGAGATTGAATGATTTATTGAAATGTTAAGTTCAGAATTTATGGAATTGTTCAAGTAACTTTAAGCAACCTTCCTAAGCTCCAAGCCCACTTTTTTTAGGATACGCGAAAATGAAAATTATTTGATCAGTTCCTATTACCGCTTCCATGCCCAAAGTAAAGGAATAGGTCATGTTTCTTCAGGGCACCGGTCAGTTCCTCAACAGTAGGTGCGATTCCACTCTTTCCCTGCACAATAAATAATGACATTGGCTCTTCAGTTGAAATCCATTTACATGAAAAAGTGGACATTAAAATCAAAATACAGCTGTTTCTTTAAACTACAGCTGTTTAATCCCATTAGTATTCAACAAAGAATTAATTTCAATGAGGCCCTCATGAGTTGCAACTCTGGGTACTTTGATTGAAACTTGACTGTTTTTTGTCCAATTCACAAATATGGTCTTCCCACAGTCCCTCCATTTTCTATTATTTTTTTGTACCTATCTTTGTCATTAAAAAAATATCCTGTTTGAACAAAAAAACAAATTTTCATATGTTCAATGTATACTTCAAGGCGTACCAAACAAGATAAGTATGTGAAATTTAACTAATACAAAAAATTAATTTAAGAGTATAGCCATAATTGATTATTCCAAATAGTTATACCTTAATAAAGTTACAACTCAACAAATATATACCGTTTTGAAGATATTACTTTTTAAGACGAATCTAACTGCAACTATAAAATACTTGTAGTATTTACCTCGAAGTTTTGCTCGTTGAACCAGTTCTCAAATTCAGCTTGTGTGCTACTAAGATCACCACTAGGGTTCAGTACATAATAGGAATCTAGGGGATCAATAAATGGAATTGAATTTAATCCATCCCCTTCCTCAAGAGTTTCTTGGTGGAGGCATCGCTTGAGTAGAGTTGCAGTGATTGCACCAACAGAGGGCATGCGGTACACCTCTTGATCTCTTAATATTGGCAAGTTCTCCCACGGAAGCATCTGCATTTATATGTATATTGATATGTCTTTAAAAGAGCTTAATATCAGCTCTATTCAAATTTTTATGGCAAGGAACTCCTACATAATTCCACAAGAAAAAATTCAAGGCATTTAAAACAGAGTTCAATTCCATTCACCCTCTTAAAAAGGTGAACATTATTCTCTACTCTAGAGTGTGAAATGGGACTTGTGTATAGAAACTTTTAAAATCTTCTTGCTATATAATACACTTTTCAAATGAGTGCATTCTTGATATGTACTCCGTAAATTTTAAAGATTTTTTAAAGAATACTTTTATATTGGTTAATAAGGTAGAAAATATGCTACAAAATATTTTTAAAAAACAATTGTATTGCAAATCAAAAATTCATATTGAAAGCCTATACGATAAGATGCAGAAAAGTTATAGAAATTTCAAATTTAAATCTCCATTCCTTTGTCTAAAGTCAAGGACGAAGTCCGTCCTCTTTTTGAAAGATGAACAAAAATCTTCTCCGAAACATACCTGCAAATCAAAATCTAAAACGAGAATGCTTGGTTTTCGGTTTAAGCATCCAGAGTCCTCCAGTTTGGCAGCAGCATCTAGTATTGTTTTATAAACTGCTTCTGAATAAGTGCAAATTTTTGATAATGTTTGAGGCATCCTGCCACATTCTCCACCTATGTGACATCCATTAGTCGAAACTAGTTGAGATACACAATCACCTTTCTCAGCTGCATGAGTAGCACCTCCAAGAACTATTTTGAGAAGAGTCATATTTACATCTACTTTATACTCAAGTTTTAAATGTTTAGTGAGGTTCATCAACAATGAATCCAAGAGCTCACATTCTGACAATTCACCCAAAAGCAAGTATTTCCAAGGGCCCAACCACAGTTCCTCCAAATCCCTGATTGGTCAGCATTCAGCATTTAAGATGATGATTAAGATAGTACAAAGTAGTGCTACATTTTTAATATGCTAACCACTAATCTTTTTGTCCCACTTTAAAAGGGGAAGTTCAACATTATGTGGCCAATTTTTTTTTTAAATTAAACCTATTATGCCCCCTCCGCCCTAAATTAAAAGTCCATTTTGACTGGACACGAGTTTGAGAAAAATGTTGAAAAGTGTGTGGTTGGACTCGATTTGAAGGAGTGAGAAGTAATGATGACCACAAATTCCTTTCCAAAAAGAGAAATGGACTTATACATTGGGATGAACAAAAGATTTTTTATATTGTGAAAGTAATGTGAGAATGTTCTTTTAATGAGTACTATACTCTCATAAAAAGTACATAATTTTCAATTCTTACTAAAAAACATTGATTAGAAACATTAGTTGAAGTTCTACATCTTTGACCATAGAAAGTCCATTGTGCCCTATTAAGGTCATGTTCTCTTCACTTGATCTGAATGGTTTTGATATGATTGGAATAAATTCTGATTTGATGTGAATGTAGTTATGTTTAAAGCTGTATCTGATCAGATCAGAACTGATTCCAATAAGAATAAGTTATAGGTAATAAGAATAAGTTGAAGAGAACATGACCTTAGTAGGAATGTAGGGGGCAATATTTTAAGCAAATCAGATGAGAAATTTCACCGAACTAATTTTTATCTTCAACAAGCCAAAGAAAAAAAATGGGAGAAAAGGTACTCAGTTACATACTGCAAAAATTTGGACAGAGCCTTATCAAGTTGCTTCCTCCACTTCCACCATAAAGACCTGCTTTCTGATGTATCATCTAAAAGACATGTGGAGGAGGAAAAGTGATTATTCTCCAATATATCCCTATATGAAGGGGCCACAGTATCAATCACACCGGATGCTGCCCATGGGCAATGCCACTGCTTAGTGAAATCACAGGCTTGAGAGGAAATGCTGGAGCATAGTTCTTGAGTGTCTGATGATACAGGAAAGAATAATAAGTTCTATGTTTTTAAATCTGTTCGTGTGTAATGTGGGCTTAAAATCAGATTACCTTTTAAAACTGAATTTATAGGGAGAATTACTATAACAGGCTGATCTATTGAACTCATCCGTGACAAAAGTATCCATGCTTGAATAGGGGAAGGGCGGAACAACAGCTGACTCAGCAAAATGGCAAGATCACCGAATATGAGGCTAATGCATACAACTGTGCTAGAAGGCAAGTTCTTAAAAAATTGTTGAACAAAATCTTCTAGACTGTCAACTGATCCAGGCGCAAGCCTGTGGAATCCAAAGAAAGAACAGAGAAAAACAAAACAATTAGAAATCTAACTTCTAAGAAATGGAAAAAATTTTTGCAGAACAAAAAAACTACCTGAGTGTGATGTGATTTCTCTTACCAGCTTCGTTTGAGGAAGGACAAGAACCCTGAAAATAGTACATGATGCATGAAATTGCACAGGTGTCCACATGTTCAATAATAACAACTTATGATGATATGAAATTGGCATGCAACATCAGCATCTCAGAGAACCTTTTAGAGAAGGTTATTAGCTTTAATTGCCATATTCAAAACCTATTGATCTGAGATTTCATACTACCTATGGAATCATACCCGTTGAAAACCTTCCCATTAGATACACACACACACACACATCATTAACTCATTAAAGTACCATTGCTAGTATATTATGATGCATTTGCTAGTTGCTAGTATATTAAAGTATAATCAAATACATTTATCATACTGAGCAATTCATCCTTGATTCTATGCGAGTGCCGACTAGGATTTGCTTGATGGTGGCTTTTTATTATAGTTGCATGTACATAATCTACTTATAGTAATAATATAACTACAAATCAAAAGAGACGGGTTAGGCAACTGAACATTAATGTTCCATAGTTGATCATTAAGAGTTCACACAGAAAACTGAACCTTGATATCCAAGAGATCTTGGCCATTTTGCTGCCTCATTGTGGCTGAGAAGAGCTGGAGGTTAAAATGAGCACCGATTGAAGCTTGATGGAAGAAGGACGCCCATTGACTTTCAGGGATTACCCTACTAGATGGTATAGAGAGACTCTTGACGGATGTTGAAAGTACATAGACTGCAGCCAGCAACCTTGAAACCTGTTGTAAAACATTGCAGATAAAAATCATTATTTGATAGTTATTACCATTCATTAAATCCAATGCCTTAAACTACAAAATGGAGTGGATGCTAGGGAGTAATTTTTCATAATTTGAAAGGTCTTAACATACTTTAATACTCCGTAGTTAATCCTTCATCACTCCATTGTCTTAAAGTAGAAAATTCAAACTGGATGCTAGAGATGGTTTACCTTTTGAAAAAGTAAAGGAACCTCACGGCTCTGAGTAAAGGCTACTTTCAACCAGTAGACTATCTCTGATATGTTAATAGAAGAAAAATCACAGTTGTCTTTACTGCATAGTTTCCTGTTTGATATAGTCCAGCAAAATAAAAGTGTTAAACCATGCAAGTTGACTGCTCTACACAGAAAAAGGAAGTAGCATGCTCAGGAAACAAAATAAATCAAATGAAGAAGATTAGAGTGTCACATCAAATTGTATACGATAGTGGAGAGAATATTTTCAGCTGGGTCTTAACCAGAATGAAACTAGAAGTATATGAAAAACTTAACCATATTTGGATACAATAGTTAGCATGCCATCCAATACATTACAGGAAGAGTATAAGACTTTATGTAGCCTCATATACCCGACTGGATGGTTGCTAGCAACAATACTATCTCAAGAGCAACAATAAAAAAGAAAAAGAATAATTATTTGCTTAAGGTACAACTTCTAAGACTTTGTGAAGTTCACTTGTATTAATCGGATCATATGAATAACTTAAATTTTTTTTTGCTAGAACTTACATTATCATTTGAAATATTGAACTTGTTTGCAACCTATTTCACTATTTGTCGAATTAGAAAAAACAATAGCTTCATTTCAGGAATAACAACTTTTTTGGGATCAGAATACAACTTTTTTGTCCATTGCCAGTTGAGCTTCAGGTGTGTAAATGTATTAAATCAAAGTGGCACACTAGACTTACTTTGCTCTGACTTTCTAATTTCTATGAAGTTCTGGGAAGTAAATGTAGCAATGCATCCACGACAAAGTTGAGAATATTCTCTAGTTTGTTGTTTTGCGTCCACAAAAAGATTGTTTGAAACATGACACCTTTTTGGGATAGATGGACTCTATTTAAAGTTCATTAAGACCACATGTATCGGTTTACTAATTTAACTTCCATTTGAAAATCTAAGCATCAATAATCCAATATATTCTCTTAACTAGTAAAATCATCAAAAAGTGTTTATTTAATTATTTTAATAAATGAGCTGAAAATAAGTTCGTCAATACTGGGTTTATAGCAGTTCATTTCAGCATCTGCTATTGAAAAGCTAATTTCAACTTATTCTTATTACCTCCTTGAAATTGCTTTCAAAAGTAGGCTCAAAATGACTTCATAATCTGTAATATCTTTTTATGAGGCTACGCAATATGGCAAGCACAATTGGCACATTTAACATAATAAAGGCAAATATATACAGATTGTTACAAAACAACCAGATAAGTATGGAGTAATTCCTTGTGGAGGGTACATGCAAAAAATGGGTGGAAGGATACCTAGTTGCTTTGCAACAATTACTTTTCAAAGCTGACCAGCAAATGTGGTAAATCATCTCTACATGATCGATTGCAAACAACTTTGACCAAGTATCTTTTCCAACCTGTTCCAGCAAAGAAATGAAAGAAAGAGAAGAATACTGCAGGCAAGAAGGATCTCTAGTGACCAAAGATACACTTTGAAGAAAGACCTTATGAGCTTCATGGTTCTCATCACATAGGCACAAGCATTTTCCTGGCAAGGTAGAACCGTAGAAGAATGACAGATCAGATAGAAAGTACACAAAATGTCACAGTCAAAGAAGAAAGTTTCATTGGTACACACACACACAGTTACACACTACCTATGCTGATTAACATCCTTTGTAAGAGTTGTCTTCGAACAAACTCCCATTTAAAGTATATGAAATTCCTGATAGACCCAGACTGAAGAGCCTCCAGAGGAAGTTGGTGCCAACAATTCATTCTGTGGCATTTACCTGTAGATCCACAACCCAATTAGAGCAAAGAAATGACAGTGTTTAGCTTTTACTCTTTTTATGCATTATAAGCAACCTAAATAAAGTACTTACAGTTCAAGTCTGTAGCAGTATCAAACTGTTCGCCAGCAGTTTCACATTGTTTTATAGAAGAGCGATATCTAGATCTTGTCATCCTCATACCAGACTCTAACACCTCCTCTTTCTTACTAGCATTTACAGTTTCAACTGCATTTTTAGGATTTCTTCTTTTTGTAGGAACCTCTTTCAAAACCAGATGATCAGAAACAACTGCCTTGGGACCGTCCAAATAAGCATTCCATTTAGAGAGAGCCAACTTGTCAATAGCAGATCCATACTTCTCTTTAGCATGGGCTAACTCCTTTGAAGTAAAACTTTCTGGATTACTACAAAACTGGTTTATGTATAAATCTCCAAAAAGCTGATCAATGAAAACTTCAAATACAACTATGCACTTGCAAGAAACATCACTGAAACAATCAACCAAAGCTTTGGCTGCTTTAATTTCCTTTTCAGCCAACTCCCATAGCTTCTGTTTAAAGTATGTTTGACCTGGTAAATATATAGATAAGAAAAAAACCAATGAATACTTCCCACAAATCAAGGCCATAAGCATATCTTACACAGGGCATGGGAAATAAAGGAATATTCTCAATACCAAGAATGCAAGAAAAAGAAGCTATGAAAATCGGCAGGCTCTGAGAGAACGCGATGTCTTTTCCCAACTGTAGATAATGTTTAGCAGCATTTCCATTTCCAAGAATCTCATTAATGATTCCAACCTATTGCATTATTTGATCACAATAAAACTTGAGATTTTGCAGCAAAGAGACACTCACAGTCAAGTGATAAAATAAATAAATGTCACAACATTGACCTGTAAAGTGCTTTCAAGATAGCACTGGAGCACATTCCAGGGAGTGAGTATGCAACTTTCAGAATCAAAAGAGACACCTTCAGAAAACCAAGCATCTGAAGCAACTGAATCAAAAATTTGGAATGATGCAAGACAGTTTTTATTCTGCTGCTCCATGTGAAGCTGGAACTTTCCTTTTAGAAGGGCAAGTCGCAAATGGTATGCATCTTTTGCATATGAAAGAGCCTGAATCCATAAATAAATGATAAAACTATTGCACAATTTTTGGCATAAACCAGAAATTTTTTAAAAAGGGTTAAGAGTTACTTCAGTTAGCTGTCCACTTTGAACCAGTCTTTCACTCAAGTCATAATAGAGATAAGCTGAAATAAAAGCTGAAGCACTGGATAGTGGGACCTGACACAAACCAAAACACAAAATGATCAACAAAGCTATAATGATTAGACTCTATGTATGTACAGTAAATTTACAATAACAGCTTACATTGGAAGCGAGATCTAATGCAGTGAGCTTCACTTTAGCATCTGAAATATCTGGTGGAACGGATACACCATGGTCGCAAGGATTTTGAGAAGAAAGAGCAAACATTGTGTGGAAGCTCATTTGAAACCCAACTAGCAATGGTTGTGATGCCTTTAGACAATTTGTCCAGTATTCAAAGGAATTGACCGCTTTACCACAATGCTTGGATAATGCTTGAATGAACAAATCATTAACATGTGAAGTACAAAGAGCATGACTAATTCGTCTATGTTTCCATAGCAATGACACCAATGTCTCTAGTGGAATATTTTTCAATTGAAATAACCGAACAATCGCCTCAAAAATTTCAGCATGAATATTCAGATCTCCCTATGGTGGCAGAATAGCCAAAAAAATATACATTATCATCGTTCACACAATCACAGGACATATGAGTATATATTGATTAGAGATAAAATTAAAACCTGCCTTAATTGATAACAAATCAATTATCTGATAGAACAAATTCAGCATGGCTTCTGACAACATATTGCACTGATCAGATGGGTGGCATTGATGACTGTTAAACATTCTAACTGCAGCATGAATATCTTCGTAAAATAGCTGTGAAGTAAAAATTCAAACCTAAAAATTATCAATAAATATCGTCTAAGGTTCAATTTATAGAGCAGGTAAGTAAATTTCAGATCTAGTAGATCCCTTTGCCCCAAATTATACTTCAGAGTTTGACTTCACAGCGTTTGGGAAAGGTGTTGAAAAGTGAAAAATGTGAGACTGGAATTTATTTAAAGTTGACAGAAAGATAAAGAGAAAATTTGAGGTTGAAATGATATATAGTACTTTTGTTCAGCTTAGGAGATAGGAAATCAAGATGAAGAAGTTCCAAAATCAACTGCTAACAAGAGTTAATGGAAGATCTTCCCTCTCACTCAATCTCACTTTCTTAAAAAGCCAAGTGCATACATGCTTTTAGCCGTAGACCGTAGTTATTCCAAAATATAAATCCAATTTGTTGATCATGTGTGGTATAAAGTACTTTTCACCACCTTTGAGCTAGGTTCAATCTCATTGGTACACAGTGCACGAATACAGTATGCACGAGGAACTATATCACAAGCTGAATCCATGCAGCTAAGTTTTTCACTTTCTCTTCTCTTTGCCACAAAATATCTTTCCTGGAAAAAAAAATCTCTTAAAAGATTGCTGTCAACAGTAAAGCCAAAAACAGCTAAATGAACTCAAAACAGCAAACAAGGGGCTGAAAAAAATAAGCTAAAAATGGATTACCATTGTGGATATTGCTTCAGATAGACATAGAATGCAATCATGGCAAAGTCCTTTAGCTCTTAACTCCCTACTCTTGGCAATAAGAATTCTAGCTCTCTGCGAGTATGCATCCTCTGTATGATATACTTTATCTAAAAGAATGCTCATAATCTTCAATCGCATTTTCTGACAAAAATTTGGGTTCATAGCATTCAAATCTTTATATGCTTGAAGTTCCTATGAAGTCAACAGAAAGTAATAGACCAACATGATTACAATGTGGCTAATAGTCACGATGACGCTCAATGTAAATGTGCAGAAAAAGAATATAACCTCCTCCATTAGTAATCCAACAGTTCCTTTATATTCTATTGAAGATGACAATATAGGATGCAACAATGTGGCATCTTCTTCTATACCCAATTCCTTAAGAGCTCCCAGTTTTATCTGACATTTGTGTCCAAGTTAGGCTAGATACAGAAACATACATGAAAATGGTTAGAAAGTTTACAGAGAGCGATAAAATGCTACCTTTACAAACTGCTTGATAATATTTGTGGGACATGGAAGTGTATCAAAAAAATATTTTGCCATACACCAGCTTTTGAGGCAATCAGTGAGAATCTCATCAACCTCATTATTGCTACAACTATGATAAACTACGTCCAGAACATTGACAATTTTGGAAAATGAATTACTGATGAAACTTATTACAGAATCTTCTGATATTTCGTCTTGAAGTTCATTTGATATATGGGAAAACTTTTCACAGCTCTTTAAGATCCACGTACAAGATGCTTTGCTGCAAAACTTTAAAGCCTTGGCAGCCTGAAAAGTGGGACAGGCAATCAGACAGTTTTTACTCTAGTTAAAAGGTTGGCAATTGGTAATAAATGAACATATACTCCTTCGACTCAAGCATTGAGCAAAATATCATATTGAGAAATAGTATGGTGGAGTCAAAAAGCACAAGGTTGTAAAACTGGCTTTGCTTACATCTAGCAGTAAATACCTTACATCTAGTATGTCAGTAAAAAATACCTCTATCATTTGCTTGCCTCTGTAAAAAGCAACAGCAAGATTGTAAAGAGATGTAAATAGATACTTAAGCCCATATGTGTGAATATCACTGTGAATGAAATAATCTATGAACTTGGCATTTTCCTGCAACAAAGTACCAAAAGAAAAGCTTTACTTTTCAATATAAAAATAAAAGATAAAACTTTAAAACTTGGCATAGGAAGTACTAATAAGACAATTACTAATTAAAAGAATTAATTAGTCAGATATTAAAAATTTCTGTGGCATAAAAAACAAGACAAACCTCTATTTTAAGCTTTGTTCTTAAAGAGAGTGAAAAGCCAGCGACTGCTACCTGTATCGTACTATTTTTTTCATCACATGCATCTTGTTTGTTGTCAAGCACACTACATCAAAAAACCACTGAAACCCTTTAATGTTGTATAAGTTATAACATTGACGGTGGAATTGCTCGACCAAATATGAACATATTGTGATGAAAATAAATAAACACCAATGCGACAGGTGTTAAAAATAAACATATAGGCACACTGTCAATAAACAGCAGCAACAAGAAACTAATGCATTCCCACAAGTAGGCCTCAGGAGGCGGGATGTACACACAGCATAATTGTCACAACGACTAGGCAAGGCCAGGTGCCAGAGTACCTTCTAGTAGCCTAGGCGTTTTGGCGTATGCTTAGACGTCCATTAAGCGAGTGCAATATGGTGATACACACACACACACACATATACATACATGCATATATATATGTGTGTGTGTGTGTGTATGTATGTACACACACACACACACATATAAATAAAACGAGTAGAACACATGTTACTTTTTAAAAAATAGAGTTCCTCATCGCCTTAGGTGTTTTCACGCAAAATTAGGCCAGAGGCCACTCAAAGCCGACCCTTAGGCAAGCGCCTCATTGCCTTAGGTGTTTCTAGCCGAGGCATCCATCTCATAGCGCCTTAGCCACACCTAGGCGACGCCTTAATAACTATGCCACAGAGCCTATATCTACTTATAAATGATAGAGAGGACGTGGCATGAAATGATTGTAACCACTAAATTTTAATATCAAGACCGGATTTGTTACTTTTGCATTCAGGTTAGATTATGTTTTGGTTGCATTGGGTTTGGGTTGGAAAATGCATGTCCGTGATCTAGTGTGCTCGAGTTTAAATACTTAAAATTGTAATAGCACTATTATTTTACATAAAAAGTAAAAATAAAATTTAAATGTATTAATCAAAGTTGTTATAATATTTCCTTTGGAAATTTGTAACTAATTCATGCAAGTAGTTTTTAAGATCAATGCTAAGAATATTATAAATCATTTCAACTTTTAAGTATATACAAACTTTAAAAGAACTGCAATAACAATAAAACGTGGTAGTAAAAATCTAATTAGAAAAGAAAATGCATGCATTAAAATAGAGTAAACAAAAAAATAATAATGTGGAGTATGATATCATGGCATTTATTGCTTAATACTCTGTATATCATACTGAAGTACATGATTGGAAATTCCATACCACAACGAGTTCATCATGTCGAGTTTGGGTTCAATTGATTTTGAGTAATTTTAGTAGGTCATTTCAAGTTAGGTTATTTTTGGGTTCAGCCATTTTCAGGTTTGATCATTTTTGAGGTCACTATATAAAATCCATATTCAAAATGCAGTGTTTTTAGGTCGAATCTCATGTCAAAAACAAGTTGGTTCTCAAGTCAAAATAGGTCAGGTCAATTTTAGTAAGTCTAGGTGGATCATTCAACCACAAAACTGACAAAAGAACAAGTAACCACGGAGATAAATAAACATAGATATCAAGAACATGCTATCTACTCGACATGGGGAGAAACTAGTATAAATAAAAAGATTAGTATGCAAATCCATGACAATGAAGCTAAAATAGACATTCATGTTAATGTGTTAACTTCGAGAAATAAATGGGCTGGATTGAAATGGAAGAGTACACTTCAATTGCTCCTTGCTTTCTATGTTGTTTTTGGGTAGAAAATTTAGTGATGTCACGGGTCTAAAAAAATGATGTCTTTGTTTTTACACAGTGAGGTTACTTATATCTTGATCTCTACACCCCAGGGGAGTTGGGAAAATACTGAGTTTGTTGTCATTGTAATTTCATGTGCCCCTTGCATTAAAATGAGTGCCTGGATAAATAAATGCATAACAACATGTTTTACCTATGGCAATGGTTAAGCAAATGGCAGTATTGACTAAATGCATCCTGCACAACGTACAGACTCTCCATTTCGGTAAAATCTTCTTTTCTTTCTGAAATAAAGATCTGAGCTAAGGGATGACATAAAAATGACAGGGCATCAAAATATGACGGCAGGTACAGAATTTGTTTGTGTGACGAGCTCCTCCTTTTGACACCAATATCAAAGTCACGTTTCAATGAATCAAGCAAAGATTTCAATTTCTGAAAAATGTTCTCTTGACGTAGCAAAAGCCTGAAGGCAGATCCGTCTTTTGTGTTTCCTTGAATTGTGGAGTGAGACGTAAGATGAAGGATAGACAATCCAGTTGCATAAATCCCAATTATCAAATCGGCAGTTGATATGCCCTTCAAAATAATTATCTCTGTCATGAATTCGGTATATCCTCAACAAGTATGTTGAAAATTCACACACAAAAAAAAAGAATTATATCAAGATTCAAATAGGTTAACTGATTGAGAGATACATCTTTATTTACTTTTCCGCTATGGTTGATGGCTAGCTCTTCGAAAAGCATTGAAATAGAACTATAATTCCTTGTCTTTCGACATTTATTAGCAGAATAATGTATGAGTTCCAGAAATTTTATTGCATTGCTCTCCTTTCCCGTCTGCAATGTGATAAGTATCTATGTTAGTAACCAATAGAATAGAGTGCACTAAATCTGTGAATCTGTGATTAATACCAAAGCACCACTATACAGGGTCATTGTGGACAAAATTGCTGGAGTCTAAAGATTAATAAAGTACAGTGAGCAGGTTACGCCGTTGTTACCTTGCTTTCCGCAGACATAGATTCAAAGATACATCTTAATACATCAACTATATCAGAAGCTTCTTGTTGTCCAAACAACGAAGAGCACATATTATGTGCGAGCTGCAGAAAATCTACCAGTAAAATACATGGCTAGGAATCTTTTAGGATGTAAATCAATAACAGCCTCAGACATTTAGATGTATTTTACCTTCCAAACTTCACCTCTCTGAGATGATCTTCTGTACAGATCAAAAATCTGCTGGCAATACATGCACACTAAATGCCCGCCAAAACAAGCTAAATTGTCAGCCATGAACAAAGCAATTCTGCTCAAATATTTCAAAAGCATCTGATGCATTTTGTCACTTGCATTGGCTTCTATGACCCTAACCAGCACACAATGTGTAACATTCATTAGTAAATTGTCTATCATACCGTGTAAGACTCGTAAAGCTACAACATTACACATCACAAGATCTAAGATTTGCAACTCTTTTATGAAAATTATAAAATAAATGATGATACATGATCAAAGAGAGGCAGATAAATGTCTCACTTGAGCCAAGGTAATGCTTCATTGACTAAATCGAGTATTCTATCATAATCAGATGCGTCCTTGCTTTGTTTCATCCAAGCACATTTCACAAGTGTTACTGCTATGTCCAATACCATCAAAGCATACTCTTGGTCCACGTTTTCTTCATTAAAAGGCGGCAACAACTCTCGCCTCTTTGAAACTACCGATTTTGCCTCTTCCCCTTGACAGCAATCTCTCTGAAGACTCTCCAGTATACAAAATGCTTCGCCTTCCGCCTCTTGGTACCTCTCCCATTCCACGAGATAGCGCACAAAACGTAATTTCTGTAATTCAACTGAGTGTGGTTTAGCGTCCAGCTGAGAAGCCACTAAATCGAGGCAGTTTAAGCAAAGCCTATATACATCGAGCAGATGAGAGGCAGATTCCTTGGAGATTTTTGAGGTCTCGGAGAGGCGTTTGGGAAGGAGACCCAGCGCTTTGTTCAGAAACGGAAGGAATCGTTTGCACAGAGCTCGGATGGCGGTGAAATTCTCGCCGGATTTGGATGATTTGTTAGGTTTAGAGATAGTGGAAAATTCGTGGAGGTAATTGGAGAAGCCAGTGTATGTATTTCGGGAAAACTCGTTGCCGGATTGGAGTTCGGAGAGGAGGCTGACGGATGCATCGGCGGCGGAGCCCATGGCGGTTGTCGGGAACCGCCGGCAAAGAATAGTGAGGCGGGGGGACTCGCCCTGAAATGCGATGTTTGAGTGAGCGGGAAAAGGAAGACGCTATGAGTATAATAATGTGCTCTTTTAAAAAAACACACTTAAAAAACAATTAACACTCTAACAGTAGTCTTTGGCATTTTTTAGTTTTTTTTTTGAAACATTGGCATTTTAAAACTAATCTAAAACATTAAAATTTTACCTAAAATCTAAATCATTAAATCTTTATCCAAATGGTTAATACTAATAAAAAATATTATTCGCAAACAAAATCGATAAGAATGATTGATCATAATATATATGTGATGGTATGTGTTTTACATGTTAGATCGAGTGGAGGCATATACTCTCTTAGTATTTCTTATCGTAACTTTCATCTACATCAACGTCACATTTTATTCTATTATTTCCATACTTTTTTGTTTAAAAACACTAATTTACCAACTTAATATAAATGATTTTTAAATAATTAATTTAAACTATTAAATAATTAACTTTGGCAAATAATACAACCTTTGTTCATAACTTAAACAATTGGATGAATGAATTACGGAGTATGAAATAATGGATAGAAGTGCTCATATAGTGCTCATATGAAGTCATATCTAAGATTTGAAGCAATTATGTGTCATAAACATCATACATCACATTTAAAATTTTGGCATAATTATAATTCAAAGAGTGCAAACATAAAGCATAACATAAACTTTTGTCTAGTCTATCACACAATTTTTAAAAGCAATGTGCAATAAATAGTTCAAAATAAAAATCATAGAATCTATCGTGTTTCTGGTGTGGATGTCTCACTTGGATTCTTAGAGCGTAATGTGTGTTGAAACAATTTGTATCGAAGGCAACTGGACCATCAAACCAGCGTACCGAAAATTTCTTTTAATGAACCACCAAAATTATAAGATTTTTAATTTAGAAGACATGCACGAACTTAGGCCCGCTCACCTATCTCGCACTTAAAAATATACAAATATGGGACAACTATATGAGCCCGTACGGGTGAGCTTGGCTCGAGTTTTGTGAGTGTGCTTGACCCACCTAGATATATAGGTAAAAGAAAAAATTTCAAGTCCAGTCCATATTCGATTTTGTGCATGTCTGGTTTCTACTAATATGATTCAAACTCTAGAACTTTTTGATACGGTATAAAGTAAACATCTCAAATATTCAATTTAAAATATTTCTCAAAAGGGTGTAATATTACAATTTTTTTCTTCAGCCCGGCCTCATCACTCACAAGCTCTGCACTCTGACTAATCGACATCAGAAAGTCTTAAGGAAAAAGGTCTGAGCTCCACCATGAGCTCGGCCATAAGCATGGCAAGGGCGAGAGTTTGGCATAACCAAGCATCAACACACTAGGGAGAGAGTCTGATATGGTCGGCCATGTGACGAGCTTGCATCCATTTACTCCGAGGTCATCGTAGGCCCCACCCCGCGATTAACTCCTTGAGAACAACGAACCGACCTCTACTATATGAACAGGTCTCAAGTATGAAAAAATAGACGTCTCACAGTGACAAATGTAAATAACGAACTCATGTGCTATAACTTAAATTAGCTGGGTTTTGCCGTTTTGGCCCACTACATGTAAATGTATAAATAGACCTCCTTGTTCAATAAGGATTATATCGAATATACGTAGTATTAAGCTTCTTCTCTATACTAGTTTTACAGCCTTCATTTTCTATACACACTCTGAATTTTTTACAGAGTATTTCTTATTATTTATTTGTAAAAAATGATTTTAAGGTTCATCTATTCCCGTATAAAATTAGAGAATGAATGAACATTTGATGTACTATACCAAAATTAGAACCTGTGCAACACACTAATTAGAATCTATTCGTTGTCTATGCCAACATTTCTCCCTGCAACACAAGAATTAGAATCTACGTAGTATTTGTTTTAGAATGGAAAAAATATTTGTTACACTATAAAAAAAATTAATAGTGAGTCTTCTTGATGAAAGGTCACATATTCAAACTTCATTGGAGCTACTAACTCTATATACCTTATTAGGTTTAGAATATATGAGTCAATGCAACTCCAAAATAATAGAATTATTAGTGTTAAAAAAAGATTAACAGTAAATTATTTTCCAAAAATCTTTTTTCCAAAGTCATTTTTTCATCTTTCTTTACACGGACCCTAATACTTCCATATTAAAGACAAGGCCCACAGTATTTGAATTCAGTGGGATTAGAACGACCCGACCCGGCTTGTTCGCATCGAAGTGTAATCTAGGGTTTTTAAGGGTTTCTATTGTCCGGAGAGACGGAGACTGAAGCAGCCTTCACAACCAATACCAGAGTCAGTCTGCGACCTCAACGATGCCGAAATCCAAGCGCAACCGACAGGGTTAGTATTTTTCTTCGTTAGGGTTTTACTGTAAACCTTAATGCCGAAATCTCGTGCAACATTTTCTGCCAGGCGGCAAGAAATTTGTTTGCATTTGAGCGTTTTTGCATGAAATTTACTGCTTTTGCTACATGGGATTGATTCTTGCATTGAATTTTGTTTCATTATTTTTTTTACTTGAAACCAGTTACTCTATCCAAGACGAAGAAGAAGGGGAGAGCCCACAAAGAGAACATTGTGAACTTGATCCGGGAATCGGCTGATAAGTATAGTTCCCTCTACGTGTTTGGTTTCGAGAACATGAGGAATCTCAAGTTCAAGGAGTTCCGAGAGCAGCTTAAGTCTTCTAGCAGGCAAGCTTAAAATCTACCCTGGCAAAACTGTGAGACGTTAAAGAAATGGTTTAGTGCCATACTTGAACTGTAACTTGTTTGGCACTTATAAAGTTAGGGTGCTCGACAAAAAGGAGTTTCTTGGGAAGTTTTTTCCACCTTTTTTTTTTTGTGGAAAACAGCTTTATAAGCTTGTTTTGAAATTTTTTGAAGCTATTTTTTTTTTCCTCTACAAATTTGGTTTTCAAAAAACTTGTCTTTTAGCTACTATGAACAGCTCCCCAAATAGCTTTCACAACTAGCTAAAAATTTAAAAGCTTGTTGCCAAATTGTTCCAAAAAACTATTTATTGAGTTTGGGTTTGATAGTAATGGACTGTATATAGAACTTGTGCTAAATTATTGTTAGTTTTTTCTATAACGGGTATTTGAAGATTTGCAGTCTAAACTCTACATCTTTCCCTTAAACCATTTTTTGTTCAGATTTTTCCTTGGCTCAAACAAGGTAATGCAGTTAGCACTAGGTCGATCAGCTGCTGATGAAATTAAACCGGGTCTTTATAAGATTTCTAAGGTATGCTTTTATGTACTCCGTAGTATATATGTAGAGTTTTTCCAGGTTTAATGTTCTATAGTCCTACTCTGTAATTTGTCGATTATGATACTTGTACAGCTATTGCGTGGAGATACTGGGCTTCTGTTTACCAATTTGACCAAGGAAGAAGTTGAAAGGTATCTTTATTCTTTGCAGGCATCCAACGCAACATAATTATGATTTATCAATAGATTCAATACAAATCATGATACTCAAAGATCCTTTTTCTAATAGTACATCTTCATCACAAAATTGTTAACGAGCTTCTCCAATTTGGTACCCATGTCCCCCTTCTCTTTATTCACATTTTAGTACCCTTATGCAATGTATAAGTGGTCCTCTCTTTGAATACTTTTGTCCAAAACAGAATCTTGTTCACTCAAATGATGATCCTTTTATATGACTTGCCAATAACTAAAAAAAGAAATAATTTAAATATGGTACAGTTTGCTGCACCAACAAATATCTTTTGAATAAAATAATTTATTAATAAGATTTCATTCATGACTTATAGTTGGGACAAAGTTAAAAATACTTGATTCAAACTTTCAATATCCTTGCAGATTATTCAACCAATATGAAGAATATGACTTTGCCAGGACGGGGAGTCTTGCAACAGAAAAGGTATGTCAAATGCCATGTTTTGATCTACCAGTGTGTGTGTGTGTGCCTGAACCATCAATATTCTATTTGTTGAATCCATCGGTTTATTCTTTTAGGTTGAGCTAAAAGAAGGCCCACTGGACCAATTCACCCATGAAATGGAGCCATTTCTCCGTAAGCAAGGAATGCCTGTTCGGTTAAACAAAGGTAGTTATTTTTGTTTCTAACTCATTGTATAATGTATGAATAGACATGCATGGTTATTTATTTATAATCTATACCTTTCAAAGTTAAGTGTCTATTCAATTTAACAAATTGTGCCACGTCCAATCAGGTGTTGTTGAGCTAGTGTCTGACTATGTTGTGTGTGAAGAAGGTGCGCCTTTATCCCCAGAAGCTGCACGTATACTGGTTTGTAATATTTCCCTCCAACCTCACATCTTTTTCTACCAAACTTAAAAAAACTGAACCTGAAATTCTCCCATCAATCTCTAAGGGATATCTAGTTTTGGTTTATATCTTGCTAAACATTCTTGAACTTGATAGATGCACACTTTTGTTCATCTTTTGGTACTGCAGCGCCTGCTTGGCATCAAGATGGCTACGTTCAAGCTACATTTGATATGCAGGTGGGCTCCAGATCAGTTTGAAATCTATATAGAAGGTTTAGAAAATTCTGATGTGGAATCGTCATAAATGTGGTTTACACATTCATTTTCTGTGTTTGGGCCAAACGGACGGGGCCCGGAGAATGTTCGGTTATTCGCTTTTCACCTTCATGTGGTGTGCTCTTGTGTTGGGTTATCATTTCCTTTTTGTCTTGACATTTTTTTTGCTTGCGATATGGAGCGTTAAATACGGAGTATGTTAGAGATGATACTGAGTGTAATCTGTGTTTGTATGAGTAAGAATCCCTTTACAAGAATGCCTAGTTATGGTTCAACAAAAATTTATATCATTGTGTCTTTTATATCCCACTATATATCACTAATTCTTTTATCTTCTGAGATTATAAAATTGATCAACATATATTTATTAACAGGCATGCTTAACTCTGCAGCATTGAAATAGGTTAAATCAGATTTAATCATTTTACATTTAAGTACCTAAAAAATAAAATTCCTCGTTTAATATTATTCTGGTTTTACCTGAGCTTGTGAACTACTTCCTTTCAAATTTATTGACTCGTTTACTATGTGAATTTTTTGATAATTTTTGTTTACGTAAGCATTTTCATTGATCATTTGGAAAAGATTTAACACCACTTGTTTTATAAAATTTTTAATATAATATTTAAGTATGTAAGATGTACTCCGTACTTTTTATTCTAATACGAAGTAATAATTTGTAAATGAAATTATTTTAAGAGAAATAAAATATCACACACTGCATGAAAATGGATAAAAATTTGGAATAGAGACTATTCACGTGATTGCATCACATTTTCACTCAAACCTATGCATTTTTTTCTCTAGTTCATTTTGTTTCAAACTTAGATATGTATCAGTTTTTCTTCAACAAAAAAAAAAGCAAAAGAAAAGAAAAGGAGATATGTATCGCTTTGTTTACACTCTTATTCAAGTTTTAACAGAACAAAGAGCCATTCTGCTTTGATTCTACTTCCAAAATCAGATTTTCATAAATTGCTTGAGTTTCTAAAATCAATAGTTAATTCTGAAACTGGGGTACAGACGTCAACAAACGAGCTCACTAAAAATCTCATGGAAAGGGTATGGAAAGGCATGCAGACCTACCTAATTACTCTACTCCTAGATGTCTAAACAAACTAAAAGGACAACCAAGGAAAAAAAAAGAATAAAAACTAAATAGTAGGAATACATATAGACTTATAGGTTGGTTTTTTAACCCACGAGCCAATGGGTGAGAAGCAATGATGAAACCAAGAGAAGTCGTAACATTTTCATTGAAAACAACACATCCTACAAAGATAAATCCTGCAAGTTCAATTACCCTAAAGAAGAAAAAAAAAGAGGAGATAAATCTGCAAGTTCAATTACCCTAAAGAAGAAAAAAGAGGAAAGGTCCGTTCAAGCAGCCAAGGCTTGTACGAGTTCAGCCTTTTTACCCTCCAAGAGCTTCAATTCGGCGTGCCAACCTTCTAACTTGGCCATCTTCTCCAGTTGCTCCGGCTTCATGTCCTTTTCATGTGTTTTCTGTTGTTGGGCTTCTGTAAGCCGAATCTATAACAAACAAAACATACGGAGCCGGAATCTCAATCCAAATCTTATCTTAGCATGTGCTTGGTATAATAGAAAAATAGCAAATAAAAAGAGATAGAGAAGACATTTCCCCGGTTTTGGGTAAACAATTGTACTATTACTACATGCACAATTGCAATTCATCTTTGATCTCAATGTGTTCCTAATCCTATCTAAAGTCATAAATTCGGTGAGATCTTGACTTCGTTAGTCATGTCTAATTACTTCCTTCCAACTTTACAACCAAAATGATAAGTAAATTTCCCATGCCATATGTGGTCCAAAAAGGACACCATGGATAAAGGCTGGGGGCAAGTTTACAAACAGAACCACACTGAAATGTTATTAAGCTTAAGAAAATTACCTTCTTTTTGAGAGCTCGGATCTTCTTATCAATGTCCTGAAGATGATCCTCTGATGTTGAACATTCATTTGAATTCGGTGGGAGGTCAACATGATTTGAAGAGATGACAAGCTCATTCATCTTGGCTGCAACAGTTTCCACATTATTTGACGCGTGGTTTTGATTTTCCGCAGAACAAACACCATTAACTTCAATGTCATTTCCCTTTTCGCGGGCAGCCTGCCACATGCCCACATGTCACATAAAAAATGATACGGAGTAATAGGAAATAGAGAGGGACATGAGGAAAATTACTCCGATTGTAGAAATTAGACCGCAATGGAAATGTCCACTCTATTGTCAAGTAGTAGTAAGGTTTGCGTACACATACCCTCCCAGACCCTACTTTCGTGAGATTCTACCGGGTTTGCTGTAGTTGTAGGTTACATGTTTAAGATTGTAAAAACTTAGCACACGCAAACGGAATGACCATACAATATTTTCTAAATACTCCCTCCGTCCCAAAAAAAGCCTCCCAATTGGGTTTGACACAAAGTTAAAGAAAAGTGAAATTGTGTGGTTGAAAATGATGCACACGGGAGAAAAATTTGCCGGGGCCACACAAACTCTGCCAAAAATGGAAAGAAGACATTCAAGTGCAATAAACCTAGTGAAATCTAACAAAGTGGGTCAGTGTACGGAGAGAGCTTACCCCTAGTTGGACAGTATAGAGACGACCAAAAGACCTTTGGCTCAAAAAAATAAACATTAAAAAAAATTGAGGCTGCTCCTTTTTGGTACTCTCTGCTCCTCTGGAACTCTGCTGGTATGGAGGAGAGTTTCCATACTTTAGTTATCAGACTCCAAAATACATTTTTTATTTTTTTGTCAACATTAAAATAGTATCCAGACTCTAGTTAAAATTAATGCGAAAATAGCAAACCCCTATACTGTATGAAGTATGCCAACCCCTACCAAACCCCTAAAATGCAAGCAGCATGATGAAGTGAAATTATTGGGAGCACTATGATGCTAGCATCTTGGATGCTCACTAAGTAACATGTCATAAATGCTCACTAATTAACAAAATATATCAACTATCTTAATAACATATGTTCACCAGCGCTCCTAACAGACTCTGAAACAAGCAACAACAACAAACCGAGTAAAATCCCATAAAAAGTATGGCCTAGAAAAGGTGTGTGTACGCAAACCTTACCTCTAACTAATAGAGAGACTCTTTTCAAGAGGCCCCGGCTCAAATACGGAAGTACAAAAAAAGATACCAATGTAACACAAATGAAGTACAAACATAGACAAAAGAAGCATACAATCTCTAATAATTAGACATAAGGATCATGCCAGAAACCCACCACGGTTGTCCCTATAGATTACAATCACATGTGATTTTATTCATACACAAATGATAATCATTTATGTTCACAGGTGATTATCATCTGTGTATGTATGAATCATCTTTGATTGTTATTCGTGGGGACACTCGTGATGGGTTCCTTGATTTTTTGTAGACATAAAGCATAAAAAGTACACAAACACAAGCTTCGGACTAAAATTAGGTCTCCGTGTGTGCCTGAGGTCATAAGTCATGTCTAATCAACTCCTTCTCAATTCTCATGCCCTATACCACAAAATACTAAGCATAGGGCCAAGGGGGCGTTGTGCAGATGGCAAAGGAGAAAAGTGGCAAGAGGTAGACCCGAGTTCGATTCCTAAGGCAAGGAGGCAACAATCCTAAGCATACGGTTTGCAAGTATCAAGTGCAGACTCTACTTTTTGCCACCAATATGCGACTAAAGTCCAATTTACCTTTGTCTGGTCTGAGGGGGCCGATGGGGCTCATCCTTTTCTAAACATTTAAGCATTGAAAGAAATAATGAATTGGACCTGGAGGCGCTTTTCTTTCTTCCTTTCGTTCCGCTTGGCTGCTTTGGACTTGGCTTTTGGAGCATCCATTGCAGGGTCATACCCCGGCGGCACTTCCTTCAATGCCTCCATTTCCTTCTTCCACTGCCATGGCCACCAAAAACCTCAGTTTCGGAAAAGAGAACAATAACAGTTTGAGGGGTAAAAAAATCACATATTGAATGATGCGTACGAGGGCGCCTTTCGATTTGTAAATGGCGACTTCATCTTGTGGGACGTATCCAGCCTTAATTCGGATGGGCTTGCGGAGAGTGCCGTCGGGTCTTCGGGTCGGGGCGATTATTCTCTCGCCGGCCTTTGGGGTTCCGGCGGCGGCGGCGGCGGCGGCTAATCGCTTAGCTTCTTCTGCTTCTTCCCCTCCTCTGTTCGCAGGGCTACTTGCCATTGATTCCGCAGCTTGTCCGATTATCGATGTCTAGGATAGAGGCCGGTGTATAAGTAGTTCCACCTATATTAGTCACTTTTAACTCTAAATATAGTCATGTGTGATCTTGTTTAATTTGATTTAACATATAGATTATTAATATATAAATTCTATAATTTTTTAATATACAAATTACAAGATAAAATGGATTAAAAGAGTGCATTGGATGGTGTGTAAAAATGAAAGTGGATAAATACTCTATGACAGAGGGTGTATTTTTAAATTAGTTTGGGAATTTTTTTTGAGATTAGAATACTTCTAATTTCATACCACCAATCTTTATCTTGGAACAAAAATAAAACTTATGAATTATATTATTTACTACATACATATACAATACAACATTTATTTCATTTATAATTAAATGATGATAATTTTAATAAAACATTAACTTAACATGTACTCAGTACTCTAGAACGAATCGAATTAGAGAGATATATTTTTTTTCCTCACCTAATATTTATTTTAATGATTTATTGTGATAAAATGACTAAATTAACCCTAGTATTATTAAAAATTATGCAATTTTTAAATATATAGGTATAAATTTTTACCCCGTGAATAATTCTGGCATCTAACTACTGTAATATGAGATGTTATGTCGTTAAGCATTTATTAATTCATTTCACCAAATTACTTACAGAATATATTAGAAGTATCATTATACACCTTAAGTATTTAATAGAAAAAATCTAATAAAAAATTGAAAACATGTTTATAAGATGTAGCATCTCACTCCCAATTGTTCACATCCTAATTACTATGTTTATTTTACGCTGTGTTTGGTTTGAGGTAGGTGAAGGTAGGGTGAGGTGAGATTTAGGAGTTATCTTGTTTGGGAAATCAAATAGGGGAAGGTAGCCGAAGGTAGGGGGAGGTAGCCTAGCCGCGGAACAGTGCAAAAAACCCGCCCGCCGATTCAGCAGTAACTCAAGGTAGGTTTTGCGTTTCCCTTCCCTGTCCTCTTCCTCTTCTTCTTCTTCTTCTTCCTTAGCGACTGTTTCTTCTTTTCGGATCTGATCTCCTCCATGCCTTCAAACCCTATTGATTGTCGACGGCTTTCTTCCTGGTCGATTTTGCTTTCTTTCTCTGATCCCCACTACCGATTTGATTTTGCTTTCTTCCCACTTTTTCAAAGTTCAAACCCTTTCTCCGATCCCCACTGCCGATTTTTTTCTTTTTTATTTTTTCTCTGTTTTTTAATCATTGAAATTGAAATAGACTTTTTCTCCTTGTTTTTTTTTGGGTTTTTTTGTAGTTTTCCCGTTTTTTGTTTTATTTTTTGCAATTTCTTTTTATTTTTGGAAAAAAAATAAGGGCATATTAGTAAATTTGTTATTCTGTCTACCTCACATTACCTAATAAACATCCAAACACAATTTTTTAACTTGTTACCTTACGTTACCTACCTTCAATTACCTACCATTACCTACCTAATAAAATTTTTACCTACCTCCATACTCTTAATTTTATAAACTAATACTCCTAGGTGGGAGTTCATGCCAGCGGCCCATTGTTTGATCGCTTTCAGGCTATTTTTGCGATTAATTACTGCAATACATTACCGCATAATTCAGTCGCCGGCGGCATAAATGAGGACAAAACCAACGGCGGTGTTCATGGCCTTCGGAACCAAAGGCGATGTCAATCCAATAGCTGTGAGTCTCTCCCTCTCTCTCTCTTACTGAATATTTGTGTGTTTTTACATCCAATCGCTACAATATACGGAGCACACTACATGTTTGTAGAAACTAAAAGGGAGCTGAATTAGATAGCAGACCTGCAGAATTGATGATTGGGGAGCTATTAGGGGATGTAACTGGGTTACCCTGCATCTGTCATTGAAATCGCCCCGAAAAAGAGCAATACTAAGCTTTGTCTCACTAAGCTTTGAGTCTTATTTTGGGACAGAGAGAGTATTTCATAGGTGTACATTGATTGACAAGAATTTTATTATTGCCATAATGCCATCATGAAATGTGTTCTTTTAATTAAATAAAAGGTGTTGTTGTATCAACCCCCATTTTGGCTAAATTCAACCTTTTTATGTTAAATGGACAAATTTACTCTTAAAAGTTGGTATGCATCTAATCATCTTTTATATTTTTAATGGTAAAATTGTCTATTCATCATAAATGGGGTGGATTTTGCCAAAATGGGAGTGAATTTAGCAACACCCTTAAGTAAATTATTTGAGCATTATATTGATATATGGATGGTTTCAAATGGACAGGCCATAGCTGCAGCTTTTGCCTGTGATCAGAAACAGTATCATGTGCATTTTGTAACTCATTCAGCACATGAGGTTCGAAGATGCGTCAAATAGTACACGCTCTCATGATTTTCTTCCTATGTTAATGTAGATACTTGTTGGGTTGTCCTTGTGGAGGTTGTGAAACACCCTTAATTTAAAAGAGTTTATATCTTTATAGATACGCAGTAGATGTAAATGTAATCACAAAAGGCTGTTTTTGTCCTTGAATCTAGTTTGAGCCTTGACCTCATGCAAACGGTTTTGTTCTGTTTTTTTCTCCCATTTGGAGGATAGAACCTGAGAATTCATTTGGAAACAAAAGGAGTTATGTACATTCCAGTTTCAGTGCCACCTGTTCTTGCTCCTACACAACATCATGGTATCATACATTCATACCCTATCCTGATATATACTTCAGGGCTGTTTCTAAAGAGTTTTTTTCCTTTTATGTTTATCTTTTTGGGTGTGGCTAAAGTGAAATGAATAAATCTGTTGTTTTTTTGTAAGAGAAAACCCATTGGTAACAAACATTTCAACCATATTCGTCAAAAACTACTTATTTTGTGTAAGCAGAATAGTCCAGGAGTTGATACCAACCGGACCTTTAGTCTGCCTTGGACTCATGCTGCTGTTTCAAGTTGAAAATTTTCACTTTAATCGGGGCTTTATCGAGAAATGACTTTTCTTAGCAGGTGCCATGGAGGAACCCTTCTCTATCCAAAAAAAGGAACTTACCCGGAAGCATAGACAAGAGTGTGTGTCTATTATTGAGGGTATATTCGGAGACGAACCTAGCATGCACCGTGATTTCATTGCCATCAATTTTTTTGCACTGGTAAAGTACTAGCCATCTAGAGTGCACGCCTTTAAAGAATTAGAACTGTACAAACACGGGCCAACTACCAAGGCTCGATTTGGAATGGGTTTTTTCATCATTTTATTGTCTGTTTACCAGGTATGCACCCGGCCCGGCTCGCACTAAATGACCTAAAGTCCATTTCCATACCTGCCCACCATGACCCAAGTTTGTTCATGTCTACAAAGAATCTTTTTTAGTAGACTTAAATTTTATAACACTTCATATTCTCTCCGAAATGTGATGAAGTCATTAGGAGGTGTTTGGTTCACGGAATGTGAGATTATGTGGATGTAATATTCCCTTAAGTTGTTTGGTTAATGGAATGTGATATTGCTTATGTCGTTAAATTGTTAGGGACAAAGTTGGAATAGCCTAAAACATTACAAAAGTTACATTACATCATCTAAAAGTAACTTAACTTTGTTCTACCATATGGATGAGCCAGTAGTTTTACTAGTTTGAAAATCTAAACGAAGGTTTAGTAATCTTACATTACCTTTTTCACTCTACATGAACAAAAAGGCCCACTGGGCTATATATCGTCTTAGCCTCGCCTTTAATACTAGTGGACATACCAATGTCGATCTTTTGAACTACAATTGCAATCATATTAAACATAGAAACTATGAAAAACTCATGCCAATACTAAGCAGTTTGATATTTTATATGAAATATTCCAAGATTACAAAATGATCACCAGTGCTTCTAGATTTTCAATATTTTTTTAAAAGTTTCCATATTATATGGATCCCCCAATTTTTTATGAGTATCAATGATCATTTTGTGATCTTGGAGTATTATTGTAAGATTATTTAAACTCTGGAAGCACTGGTGATCATCTTGTAATCTTGGAGTATTCATGTAAAATCTCAAATTCTCGTGAGTATTGACATTAATTTTTCCTAAATATAAGCTTTGAACAAACATTTAAAATTTTAAATACTACTGTCATTGGAATTGATGTAAACTATGAGGGAGGTAACTCGTGGATGTTCTCAATTGAGTTCGAATGGAAGGAGATGAGATGACATATCTAAAAAATTCAAAATCATATTCTTTTGTGGGAGTATATTATATGACCTTCTCTATATGTTCTGTAATCCAAATGAAATTATCATAATCGTTTTTATAATTTAATCCTTTCATCTATTACCTAAACTTACCCATCCAAACATCATTTGATGATTTCACATCCCCTCATTCAGTCAATTTTAATGTTTTGTCTTCATTTTCTTTACCCCACCCATCAATATAAATACTATTATGATGATGCATTTATTCTGTTAGGAAGGTTGGAGTCTTGCAGAGCTTTTTAATGTCTGTTGTGTTGTTGCTGCTCCTTATGTTGTTCCTTACAGGTAGTGATCCATATATTGTCATATGATCTTGCATAATAGTGTTAGCTCTCTCTTGAAAAAGTTTTCTTTTGTCATTCCGCTTCCTGGTGATATCGTCATTGTTAGATCATTGATGTCATTTAAGCTTCTATAATGCATATCTGAAAACAACATGTTTTTTCAGAGGTCATGTTGCTTTTCAGTTACATAATATTGAGCACTTGAGTATCCCAAAGCTTCAGTTACTTTATCCTAAACCGGTTGACGGCTGAGTTTGAGTCTACTATATATGTGTGAGCTAAATTCCATAAGGGTCTTTTGGGGCAAGTTATGCCTAATTTTAACATGGCTTGATAGTTTGGTCCCGTGGTCATTTGTGAGATGCATTCCCACTCGGCTTGGTCTGACCGGGTGTGTTAAGTATACACCTCATGTCCTCATTGGTAGTGTGATGAATTTGAATCTAGTACTTCCCAATTTTTACTTGTAGTGCAAATTGCACTGCAAGTATATAAGTGTGACCTAAGCATACCTCATACGGCTCAATTTAATTCATTGTTTATTATGTCTATAAAAGGTCAATCAAATTATTGTGCCTTTCTTACTTCTAGCTTTTGCATATGAACATAGTGCCCCTGCATCATTTGAACGACAATTTAGGAAAGAGCTCCCACTTTTGTACAAGTATCTCCAGGAAGCCCCTGTTGACAAGGTGCGTATTAAAGGTTGTAGCTGCTGCTTCATTACTTCTTGATTCTCTCTCGACACAGTGACACACACACACACACACATGATTGGGAGTTGTCAATTTGTCATTTTAGCAGTGTTTTTTATTTTGAGGGTTATCACTTGAACCCTCCCTCCCACAAATGAAAAGCTATTGTTCTTGCTCTGTTAAAAAAAAAAAAAAGAAAGAAGGGCATCATTCATTTAAGTAGGATAGAATTTATAATTAGGCCGGATCAATGCACACGAGCGAAACTAAGTAAAAGATTGATTCCAATTGATTATGTAGCCTAACTTATGTCCTTATAAACACACATCTTTCTCTTAATTATTTTGGTGGACTCTTAACAAGTTAACTTTCTACATCTGTTGTTGTAGATTGGTTGGAAAGATGTTATCCACTGGATGTGGCCACTTTTTACTGAGGAATGGGGATCATGGAGAAGTCTTGACCTAAAGCTGAGTTCCTGTCCTTTTACGGTCAGATTCATGCATGAAAATTGAATTGGGGGTTGACTTTGACATTACACAAATTAATGGTTTTTGAAAAATAACTTTACCTGCTTGAAATTCACAACTGTCTTTATACGAACACAGGATCCAGTAACAGGTCTTCCAACATGGCATTACCGGCCACCTTCTCCCTTGCTATTGTAAGTTAAATACCCTGACCAAAATTGTACATTTTATGTCACAGAAAATGTTATTCATATTATTAAGCTGTATCATATTATATTAACATTTTCTAATTAGTACAATGGGGTTATTGAAGATTTTACAATATATTCAAATTAATGTATTATTTTTGGGTATTTACTTCATTATCTGAGCACAATAACAGTAAAACAGTTTTAGAAAGACATTTTTCTTTATTTCAAAGAATAAGCATTTGTTACATATGGTTTCTTGATTCATGTTTTTGCGATGTTAAGTTTATATCTAATACGGAGTAATACATTTTTATGAAGTTATTGATTACTTTGGTTTGGTGACAGGTATGGATTTTCCAAAGAAGTTGTGGAGTGCCCTGGTATGATTGCAAGGGGATTAGTCTGAAAATTTGTATTATTATGTATTCGTGCTTAGTTTCCCTTACCCCTTATTTGGTTCAAAGAGGGGAAGGTAAGAAAATATAAGACTTAAAAAAGATATTTAGAGTGGTTCCATAGAGGAGTGTGGTGGAATGATTAATCCAGGGAAAAAATATGTATTTGATATAATGACGCCGAACAATTCTTTTTTGGAAATGGCAGCCATTGAAATAATAGATCGACATGTTTACTGTTTCTTATTTATAGTCCAATGCCTATTCAACAATGATTTTGCCTGCACTCCACAGATTTCTTAACTCATCGTTTTTCATGCATGCAAAATAACGTATCATGACGATGGTTTTACAATTTTCATCTTATTTTTCTCTCATAAAGTTTGAAGGCTTATCATGTGTAAAACATTGCCACTATGCATTTTTTATGGACTCATAATCTTAATTAATTTTTGACAATTAATTGGCTCTAGAAGTAAGAAGTTAAATGCCGGGACCTCAACTAGTTGGGATTGATATGCAGGTAATGATAACACTTTTTTTTTGCATAACAGGTTACTGGCCATCAAGAGTTCAGGTTTGTGGCTTTTGGTTTCTCCCCCCTGAGTGGCATTTCTCGTGTAACAAATGTGTGGAAGGATCTGCATTAGCTTCAACAGAGTTGACACCAGAAGGTGGGCTGTGTTTGGCTCACGCCAGATTGCAGTATTTCTTGAGTACTAATGGGAAAGAACCACCGCTTTTCATAAGTCTCAGTTCTGTTGGAAGGTAAAATAGCTACCTTTTGAGAATGTCCCAAATTGCTTTCGTGTTTTTTATTGTTTCACTGGTAAAAGCATCTCCAAGTCGTTCTGTCGTTCATTTGGAAAATCTGTTTATGATTAGGACCGTTTTCAAAGTACGCCAAAGAAGGAATTCACACACAAGTTGTATGTGCTCAGAGACACTCAGATACAACTTTTGTCTTTGAATTCCTCCATTGGTGTGCACCAAGTTTATTTTTTATAATTATGCATTTTCTTCAATACATTGTTGATTCCATTCTTGAAACTATAGATCCAACCAGATAGAGATATGCGTGGTTGAGTTCAGTTTGTGCATTTTACAAGGACATGTTTTTGGTTAATAAAAGAAAATTTAGTTGCATATTTCTATTGTCCTTCTTTCATTAGCGTTATACAATTTCAACAACAACCAAGACTTAGTCCCGAATCATTTGGTTTGGCTAGATGAACCATTAAAGACCCGGAGAATGCTAATGAAAGAAAATAGAGGAGAAATTTGGAAATTTTGGGTGATAAAAAGTTGGTCAGAACTCAGATAGAAAGACTGATAAATATAAACAAATGTGAAATTTTGAATAGTTTCAATCAAATCTGTTTTTCTTTCGTATTTTTCCAACTCCACACCAACATTAAAAAAACTAATTTTTTCTTTCCTTAGCATTTTCCGTGTTCCAAACATTGTCTTGTGGTCCTCTATTAGAATAATCTCTTTCCTTTATGTGACGTAGACATGCACCATATAGTCATTAAGTGCTAACAATATCTCTTTTTACACCTTGGATCCGTGTCATTTTTCAGCATACCCCTAAACTCCTGTTTTAGTCTCCAACATTCCATAATTGAATCCCACCCTTTAAACTGAACAGTGCTGACTCTTGTTTTATCAGTTCTTTATACGTCTTCTTTGTCATAGACTATTGTTTCTCCTTGTTACAGCATGGGTTTTATGAAGGACCCTGAGGCATTTCTTCGGGTGCTTGAACATGTTTTGGACATCACAAGTTACAGATTTATTCTCTTGGCAGCTGGATATCAACCTTTAGAGGATGCAATCCAACTGCATGCTCATGAAGCATCTTGTGCTTCAGAGCAAACACCATGCAATGATGATGGTGTTTTTCTTTTTGGTGGCCGTGTTCTCTCTTTACCCGGGTATGATATTTTGGAACTGAAAAAACAGAGTTTGAGACTGAAGTGTGAGTTGTTCAGTATCCCATATCAGTTGTATATTTGGTTCAAGTCAAGTATATAATATTATAAGTGAGAGTTAAAACTCACATCTTGAGGATCTTTTTGGGGAAATTTGGACACTATTTAACCTGTTATCTTACCTCTTCTGATGGTGGTTTGTGGTGCACCACCCACTCAATGCTTTTGGCAGTCTGTTTGAGGGCATGTTTGGACCCATCTGTCTATGCATTAGTTCCAATCGGTCATATCTTTGAGTTATTTTTTTTGGAGTGGGTTAAGCCCAATTTAACAAGAGTTGCTACTGTATGTAGTTCTATACCATATACCTGGCTGTTACCAACATGTGCTGCTGCAATCCATCACGGGGGCAGGTGAGAGTTGAAATTTTCCACCCCTCCCTCTCCAACCCCACTGCAGCTTTCTGCAAAATCTGTGACTACGTATTAGTTATTACCATATCATTTCCTTGCATATTTTTGGCCTCAAATTTCACCAGTGGATCCACTGCCGCTGCACTACTCGCTGGAATTCCTCAGGTTTGTGTTACAAATCTGCTCGAACTTATCCCTAAGTGGGAAAAAAGCACCCCCCCCCCCCCACACACACACAGCAGTCTACTTCAGAGTCTAAACTAGAGAGTATTTTGCTGGGTGCAGACTTGATTTTCAAATATTAGTTTAGATGATTAATCATACTTAAAGTTTGTTGCTTTTGATATAAATATGTAAACTTATGGGATGTAATAAGGCTATGTACATCTCGACCCAATGAAGTTGGGATTATACTAGCTTGTTGTTGTTGTCAATAATATTGACATTTACTCTTCCATCTATTAAATAATTATTTTTGATAGGTGATATGTCCATTCATGCTGGATCAGTTTTATTGGGCGGAGAGGATGTTTTGGCTTGGTGTTGCTGCAGAGCCATTGAAAAGAGAGCTATTGGTACCACACAAAGGTGGCAACGGTTTAGAAGGAGCAAAAATGCTTGCAAATGCCATAAACTTTGCTCTTTCTTCTCACGTTAAAGCGCGCGCATTAGAGTTTGCAACTGCACTATCTACAGAGGTACTACTCCTAAGCTCCAATTTGTTGGTATGGTTATTCCTAGTATGGATTTTGGGTTTTGCCCCTTCGTACCCTGTATCTGTTTGGCAACAACTTCAGCATTTTGAAAATGACAACGTTTAGCTTTAACATTTTTTTATGTTGTTCCCAAACAATGCCCATTTTCATATAGAAGAAAACTACACTTTCATATATTAGCAATTTGCTAGGATGGTGTATCGGAAGCCGTGAAGAATTTGAAGGAAGAGCTTGGAGGCTCTACTTGAACCACTACACTTTGGCTTCCTTTGGTGAAGTTTTGGAGGTCTTCTACTAGCAGATAATATAATTTATACTCCATAATATTCTCGGGGTCTCTTTGTAATAGTCTCTCCGTCTTATATCTTTCTTTTCGCTTTTCTTTTTGGGCATTCTCATATTTTTCTTTCTTTCCATAAATGGAAAAGCGTATTCCCCCTTTTTACACCTAAAAGAATAATTTACTACTATTACTTTTGTACTTTCACTTTTTTTTGCATATATGTTCAATTTACTTCACATCAAGAACAAAAATAAAAAGGATCATTTTTTTTATCTTACATTAGTGTGCCAAGTCAACAATAAGCAACATAAGGGAGGGTAGGAACCGTTCATTTTACATGAGATTCCAATGTTATGGGAATCCCACCGTTATTAGAAATGTAGTGAAGGCATTGTAATAATAAAAACTTGATGAAAACATTACAAATCATAGCAAAGACTTTGCTCGGTTTAAAATCAATTATTCGGCAAAAGTTAGAATATCTTGTTTGAAAAGATGTTCACCCAATTCAAAAGGAAACAATATTATGAAAACAAAGACAAAAAAGTGAAAAATATGAAAAAAGAAATTATGGAGTATATTTCAATTCCATTTTAACGGAATTTTGAACAGATTATAGTCCTTTCGAAATAAATTAATTACCATGAATTTTAAATGTCTCTATTAGTTTTTTTTTTTTGGAAATATGGCTTCAGAGTATGCACTAAATTGAAACCACAATATGGATCTTAATTCACATGGAATGTTTTTTAGTCTTGAATGAACTAACTGATAATTTAATTTTATATATCATGATAAAAAAACTCTTAACATTGCCAATTGCAGTAAAGAAATCAACTACATAAAAATAGAAAGTGCCAAATAATACTTACAAGTACAAAAAAATTATTTAAAATGTTAATTATCACTTGAATCAGTCGGAAGAAAAAACATTTAAAAATGGTACATAATGATCCAAAAGCACAATTTAGAGGAAAATGATTGGAAACGTTTAGAGCATTATGTATAGAGCTAACTAACCAATTATATTTTCAACCCTAAAACTAACTAAATAATGTTTTAGGTTCATGTTTAGAGCATTTTGTTTAGAAGATTATATTAGAAAATTGTTTGACAGGATAAATAAAACAAACATAAAATGGTTCTTCCTCCGCCACCATTGAAGATGGGTTTTTGATTTCTCTCATATAAATTTGTTTTTTGGGTTGTCTTCATGAACAAATTTGGCTCGGGATAAAAAATAATGGTGAATTAAGATGAAATTTGGCATATCGTTCCACCTCCTTTTCTTGTAAATACTATTTTAGATCATATTATGAATTAAACTTTTGTTGAAAAAAGAAAGAATGACTCTAGATATTGGCAGGGCGAAGAGCAAATCAGATGTGGCTTTAATCTTTTTTTAAATTTAAATCTATTTTGGTCTTTTGGATATAAAAACATGTCATTCTAAGAGCTAGTTTTTTTCTGATAGAATTTTAAAGTTAAATGTTAGAAGAAACTTGAAAGGAGGTGAAAAAAATTAAAAAAACTGGAAATAGTTAGAAAAATTAAAGTGTTAAAAAACATTCAATTAATTGATCACTCTAATAAATATGTAATTGTCTTTGTCCATGTTTGAAGTGATATACTATAGACTTAGATGTATGAAGTTATTATATATTCATCATATGTAAATATTTTTTTAAAATCATTATTGGATGAAACTTTAGAAAGTTAAAAAAAATTGAAAAGCGTTGTTATTTTACTTTTCGAATCCAAAAGAATAGAATCTTATTTTAGGATATGAGACATGTTTTGGACATATCAATATGTTTAATAATATTTGATTAAATGCCAAATATAATGTAATAAATTTAATAGTTGGCTTGTGAGTATCAATTCTCCATTGTCGTCCAGCGGTTAGGATATCTGGCTTTCACCCAGGAGACCCGGGTTCGATTCCCGGCAATGGAATCTCTTTTTTTTCGGAAAGGCCTGAAATCTTTTCTTACTTGGAGAGAAAACTACAGTAAATAAATAAATTGCACAATTGAATTTAGAAAACTTTATTTTGAGACAATATAGTAAATTTTTCATCCATTCCAAAAAAAATTCTGTATAGTTTTATTATCTTTGTGAAATTGCTACATATTCTGACTATTAATAGATATATTTTTAAATTCGGAGTAAATAAATTTTATAAAAAATTTGATATATCAAATATAATTTTTTTAATCTAAGATCAAAGTTCAGAAAATTTAATTAAAAAATAAACTGTAAGAAGTATTTTGGAACGGGGAAATTATAGTTTTGTCAGAGCCACACTAGTCTCTAGTCCCTATAGATTGGGTTGGCTTATTATGAAGTAGCAATGCCTAATCTAAAGTTTTAAGCATAAAATTTGTACAGAGTACGTAAAGAAAATTTAAAAAATTGGATATGAATGGTTTTCAAACTCATAATCTCTTGGTTAAGAAGGTGTTGATAAATGTAAGAGACCGAGTTAACTAAAAGTTTAAATTTGTAGTTTTTGACACGAAAAAACATTTTTACTCCGTAAATTCTAACATTTACACTTATAATAATCTTCACATATTCTCTCTTTTTTCAAAGATTTGTTACATATCACTTACATGTCGTAAAAAGATGAATAAATAAACTATGAAATTGTTAAAAATGAACTTCATTTTGAGGTGGATAAATACATTCATACTTCGACTATATAGAAAATATTAAACTTCACTTGCAACCATTTAGAAGTGGGTGAGTTTTTAAATTTATTTTATTGTATCAATACATTGACCTAACAATCACAAAAATACTTTGGTACTCCGTATTTTTTTCCGCAAGACTTCATCAATTACGGAGTAATATTTTTTATGCTATAACATGACTATGCAGGAAGTAAAATTTATTTAAATTTCTTAATTGATTTTTAATGAATAAAACTTTATAATTCATATCATTGAATAGGTACAAGCATTAAAAAGTGTGTTTGATAAAATAAGTGAGAATGTAATCTCACCCTCTAAATAACTAATTTTATGTTTTTCACCAAATTTTGCCAAACACTTCTTTGAAGCCACGTACTCATTATCTTCATTGAAGTGAAATGTTTAGGCTATTGGTTTTCGTTATTTGTAAATAAGAGTAAATGCTCTTAAGAACGAAATGTTATGGTTTTCTGTAAACATGATTTCAACAACTCCATTGTCGTCCAGCGGTTAGGATATCTGGCTTTCACCCAGGAGACCCGGGTTCGATTCCCGGCAATGGAATTCTTTTTATTTAAAAAGTTTTATTTAAAACTCAGTCAAACAAAAGCTTACCGCACACGCTTTTTTTTACATCGCATACAAACAAAAAGGCAATAGTAAAACTCTGAATTATTAAAAGAAACAATAACCGATTACTCTTAATTTAATTTATTCTTTAATCAATAATAATAACAACAATAATACAAGTAATCTATAATTAATAACTTAGCCCCCAGTTCTGGGATTTTTGGTAGCATTTAACATACACCTTGCTACACAAAATGTTAAGCAAATAAAGTACCCTTCTTTCCTCGGCTCATCATCTTTCTTCATAATAGTATATGGTAATAATACAAACAACCTATTAATTAAGACTATTGAGCTACTGCTATATAAACTACTGTTGAAGTTTATTCTGTAAACTGGAATTGTGATCTTCTTGAACTACATCCCCCGCCGGGTTTCCTTGTGACCACACGGCCGCATCTGCATACCCGAGCTCAAAGAGGTTGTCGAGAATCTCGTCCTCTGCTGGCTCCAGTGACCAATTGAAGAGCTGTAGTGTTTGGGGAAAAGTGCATCATGATCCATGTAAAGAAAGAAAGAGAAGGGCAACTCATATGAAAACAGGGACGAGAACGGGAAACCACCAATTTTTCCAACTTTTATAAAGAATTTGGGTATCAGGACGTCCCCACGTATACATATGAGGACGGGTAGCAACACTTATTTCAAGAATCTGTGCAACATAGATAAGCAGAACATGTTCTTTTCAACTTTATATTGCAGCTATTCAGACTCTAGTCTTTAGTCTCCAGATTTTAATTAAAGTTATTACTGCATTCGAACTCCATTCTCCAATAGAGCCAAATATTCATTATTTTTTTGGCTTTGGAGTAAGATGGAATAAAGCAAAATGACTCTTAAACTATTTGTGCTTCTTCTGGTAGTGGAGTCACAGTTAGTCAATGCAACTTTCGACGCTCATCATGGGTCATATGGAAAAAACCGCTCTATGTTTTAAGATAGTGGTGAGGCTGCGTACATCCGAACCCCCCTTACCCCGCAATGGGCGGGAGCCTTTGTGGCACTTGGGTCACGTTGTTGTATTACTGCATTCAAGCTCTCGAGTCTCGAATCCGGTTAAAATTAAAGCAAAAAGAACTCGATCATAGTAGAAATGATCGGTTAGGCTTGCAAGCAAATGAAGCAACTTGAGCTCAGGGTTGGCTCCATACAATCCGAATTGAACCCAGACCGGGACCTAGTGTTTACTTGAGTTCAATAAGGATTACTCAAATAGCTGATGGATAGTGTGACTACAATCTGTGGTAGCAAGAGAGGGCCATCACATAGGCGGGCATGGGGGGTGGGGGGGTTCGGAACCATGATCACATGACCCAACTGTATAACAGTTCACCCATAGATGTTTACTAAGTTTACCTGTCGCGGGCTAGCTCTATTTTCAGGATTGCAGTCGGGACTAATCCCAATTCCTTGCAATCCTAGCCGGCTTGCGGGAAAAGCACAGATGCGCACCTGAGATATTTAAAGCTTTAAAAGAGTTCTTTATTGCTTCAGAAACTTTTCCAGACCTTAGTAACAAAGGAAAAGAAGAAGAAATATGATACAAATTGCATATTTGGTAGTACAGTTCTTTCGAGCATTACCTGCCAGATTTTCTACCATACACTATAACTTAATTGACCATAGGTGCCATATATTTGTAAAAAATTTTAAGAGATGTTGGTGAAATATTTGGCATGGAAAGTGAAACACACACTTAATAAAGAATGGTGGGAGTATTATTTTACTTTCATGTATCAGGAAATGTTTTAAATTGTATATTTGAAGGATTGTCTAGCAGATTCAACCAATTCGAATTTTTAACCATATTTTAAGCAAATTCAGTCCATTAAGCCACTTCAGTCATTTCAGGCAAGTTTTACTTTTACTTGACAAGCTCAGATTTTTTGTTACCTGCTTATGATATTGCAAATTATAGAGAGAAGAAAATAGATAATCCAGCATGGGAAGAAAGTAGAATATACTGTTTCAGATGCAGAAGTTGGTGGCATGAATAATGTCAAACCCCCATCGATGCAAAGTCGATTTCGGAACATTGTGGCAGGTCTTGGTGCAAGATATCTGCACTAAATGACTTTTTTTATAGTTAAGAAGTCACTCACGAAATATACAAACACAATAGCTGAGGTAGCGACAAGGGGAACCAACAGTGTACCCGGGAATAAAAGAAGATGTCATTACAGCATTTATGAGATCCTCTTTAGAATCAAACTGATCAACCAGCAAACCCCTTGGCCTCCACCAAAGTATCTCCGTGACCGCAACTACCATGAAGCAAGGGTATCATCACTTGGTAAGACAGACAAGTCAAATGCATAGAAGCAATCAAGGAAGAAAAAAAAAGTAAAGACTTACTGCGAACTCTTCCATTGCACCTAATATGAATATCATCTGGCAAAAGTTCCACTAAACTATCTCTGAGAACAGCCTGATGAGTGAAATGTGAATTTGTTTTTACTGGAGACATTGGGGTTGCGACAATCTATAACATAATTCAAGCTTGCAACAACAAAATGGTACTACCCTAGTTTGTCCCTAAATAATGACCACAGGTTGACTTTTCAAGATAATGTGTTGATTTTGACCATGGTTTTTCCCCCATAAATTAGGCGTATTATTTTATAATATAAAAGTATGCTTTACCAATGTGTTTGAATATATGTCTTTGAACCTTTAATTTACTATGCTTGATATTTCCTTTACAACCAATCTCATTTCTCAGCCAAACACTTTCACTTTTCAAATGCTTAAAAAAAGATTTTATTCATATGAATACACATCTCAAAATACATAAGACACCTAATATATGGGCACTCAGGGATAGTGCCCAGATACCTTAGTTGTCAACCTAGGCAGACAAAGTACAAACATCAGTACATGGTGAGAATGGTGCCCAGTACATACTCTTACACTTAATAAGAATGCCAAGTGAAAAACAAAGATATATTTTGGGACGGATAAATAATGACAAAAAGAAAAACAAGATAATCAATTTGGGACAACAGAAGTATTATTTTATTATATAAAATATGATTTGCCAAATATATTTAATATTTTTTTTAATATTTAATTCACTATGATTTTTACCAGTACACAGTTGTGAGTAATCATAGTCTCAATAAGAGTACAAGACACCAAAAACATGTACATACTCTAAAGTCTAAACAAAATCACACAAAGACAAATATATTTATCATATTCATGTAGTTATAACATTGAATCATGAATGTCTATACCCCAAGGCGAAATGCAGTTCCCCTAAGCCGGCAATTTTCTGCCAATACTTTTGTTGCTTTTAGTGCTTCTAGCATTGTCGCTCCAGATGCTATTACTGCACAAACAATAGCACCCGCAGATGAACCGGCTAACGGTGTTGTGTCCTGGTTCAACATTATTATTTTGTCATTAAAGAGTAAAAAAAATTAATGTAATAATCAAGAATATACTCATATGTTGCAAGAAGAAGAGGAAATGTAATTGTTTAAAAGAAACCAAAAGAATATACTATAGTTACAAGATGGAGTCAAGAAATTTTATCATTCTATGACCTGAAATATGAGTTAACTATAGATTCAAGACTCAGAAGAATACTTTTATAAATCTAAAACCAAAAATTGAGAATCTATCAGCCAAAGACCAAAAATTTCACACCATTGATGTATTTACTAACAGATCTAATCCGGCAAGTAAATAGATCAACAATAGTAATAGATTAAAAAATCTCTCACTTAGCTTCTCCTTTCTCTCTTTTATATCTTCGTCATTCTCCATTTTTCCTCAAACTTCTACTACCCTCACAGTATCACACTGCTTCGTTTTTAGGCTTCCCTTACCTCTTAATCTCATACAATCTTCCTCTGTAGTCATATATCACCTATCCTCTTCTCCACACAAATGTTGTGGCCTCAAACAGTAGTAGCTTCTTATCTTCACCAGCATCAATTGGAGATGAGGAGTGCCACCAATCCCACCATAGTGAATTGTATGATTCCACTACTACTTTTGGACACTATCATTTCCTTGCATGATGTAATGTCTCGACTTTCGAGTACATATATATTTTGATCTAATGGAAGCTTTAATAGGCAAGAATTAAATCACGGAAACAACTTTTTAAAAGCCCATAAATGCTAGAGGGGGGGGGAGCAAAGCCTTTAAAATCTCAACTTAGTCAATGTTTACTACCTTGCACAACCACCCATTTCACAAACCGTCTAGCTGAATGGAAACAGAAGAAAGAAGAGTGATTTTATGAAGACAAATCCTGGTGTAGCAGTAAAAACGTATGATAAATCAAACCATAGTTGAGACATTAAGTTCCAGACTTCAAATATGTGTTTCTTAGCTGATGTTTATATCTATGTGGTAGCCACTTCACATCCAATAGAAACTAAAATGGTGTTAAATTCTTGGGTCTTCAATCAGTAGATTCTCTTTTTTCATGCCTTACATTTAAAGAATTCCTTGTGAGTCCTAAATGACTGAATTGACAGTTGACCCTTTTTTGGGTCTTAGACCGATAAAATTCATAGAATCAACAAGCACATCAAGAAGGAAAAATTGAGATCAAAATGTTTCTAAAGTTGTAAGTTTGCAATATTGCAGGCTGAAAATTTTACCACTACAACATTTGTGACTGTGTGTGAATGAGGGTGGGGGTTCCTTCTCTAGCATGTTGTGATTGAGTTGAGGGACAAAATCGCAGATGCTAATAATTCCCCTTTTGTATGAAAACTAAATTGCACTTCATATTAACTTAATAAGTAAACAAGAAAGGAAAACAACTGAATAATCCCCCCACCCCAGAAATTTGGGTTTTCAATGTAGTCTGCACCCCCCAAGACTTAAGAAAAATGATCCAGCTTCACTTGGGTCAAGCTATACTGAATACCTTTTCAGATGTTAGAAATAAAGACCTAAAGACAAGTTTAATCGGTTGGCATTTGAAAATTCAATGAGAATCAATGGCGATTTGTGAAATGTGAATCAATACTATTAATGATCAATTGCATACATGGATCTGCACAGTAGGACCTGCAGACGTAGGCTTTGAATGAGATCAGGGCCGAGGTCGTCATGATAGAATTCAAGATTGGGATGAGTCTCAACTGGAACATAACCAAAATGCAGTAATGCACATGAACCAAACAACACTAACAAATGAATTGATCAAATCAACTAATACTCCGTATAACCTATTCAACAGACGCAAAAAGATTAACTTGATCAACCAGTCTTATAAACTCATCTGTATTTCTTCAATAATTCAATGGAAGATAGATTTCCACTTATGCTATTCACTGTTAACAAATTTTATGAATCAAATACAAGCAAGTGTAATAACAAAGAACAGATGACACAATTTACCTTGATATATCCTTTCTCGATAAGAAAATGAGCTACCCCAAGATGATATGGAAACAAGAGCCCAGCAGCAGAGAAGCTGAATCCGGGGGTAGTGACCGCCTTCCGCCGCCGCTCGGCTTCCACATCCTTCACACTCTGCTCCCACAAAACCTCAGGCTGGACCGGATCCTCCACCACCGACGCAATTCCCTCCTTCCTTCTCTTCCAAACATAACTCTCCCTCTCTGAATCATCCTC